GTGTCTCAGGTGAAAGCTGTGCACACAGTGGTTTGCATCACAGATGAGGAAACCTGAGTTTAGGAAACCCCAATCTTTTATAAAGAAACTACTAGCAATTATGAGTATTTTTTTCCTCAAGGGGCAACAAACAAATCTTCCCTTTGCCTTAGAGGAAAACAATGACTCTTCTAAGACTGTTGACTAAAAAAAATCCTTATAATATGCTCCAGTACAGAATGTCTGCGTAAATGTTAAATACTCATTGAGAAATGACTCCAGACTCGTGATCCTTCTGCCTCAGTATCCTTAGTGCTGGGATTATAGGTGCCACCATGCCCAGGCTACAAGCTTTTACTTTTAATGTTCCTATTCCATCCTCTACCTTCAACAATCCCTGCATGTCTACCACAGACAGGGTCTGTTTCTTTTTTTACATCTCTCCCAGTAGTAAACTTCTGCTTTATATGAGGTTCTTATTAGCTTGATGTTGGTAGGCAGAGTTTTTCTGTAGTCACTTGGTTCAGGCTCAATCTTAAGCATACTATGCGTGTGTGTGGCGGGGGGGAGGGTTTCTGAGGGTATCTTCTCAGCCAAACTGCTTTATTTGTGTGTGTGTGTGTGTGTGTGTATGTGGTGGGGGGGAGGGTTTCTAAGGGTATCTTCTCAGCCAAACTGCTTTGTGTGTGTGTGTGCGTGTGTGAAAGAGAGAGAGGGGGGGGGGGGGGGGGGGGGGGGGGGGGGGGGGGGGGGGGGGGGGGGGGGGGGGGGGGGGGGGGGGGGACGGGGGTGGGGGGGGGGGGGGGGGGGGGGGGGGGGGGGGGGGGGTGGGGGGGGGGGGGGGGTGGGGGGGGGGGGGGGGGGGGTGGGGGGGGGGGAGCGGGGGGGGGGGGGGGGGGGGGGCGGGGGGGGGGGGGGGGGGGGGGGGGGGGGGGGGGGGAGGGGAGGGGGGGGGGGGGGGGGGGATGGGGTGGGGGGGAGGAGGGGGGGGGGGGGAGGTTTCTGAGGGGGGGTGTGGTGTGTGTGTGGTGGGGGGGGGGGGGGGGGGTGGTGGGGGTGTGTGTGGAGAGAGGGGGGAGAGAGAGAGAGAGAGAGAGAGAGAGAGAGAGAGAGAGAGAGAGAGAGAGAGTTTCCCCTGCCTCTACCTCTTTGGTTGCATAGGAATAGGAATTCTGCAATGCTAAAAAAATGGCCCATTAGTCTTTCTGGTCATTTTCCTCATGATAGGTTTATTTTCTTCTAACTTTCCCATTCAACTCATGTTTACTTGTGATTTGTAGGTAACAGAGTTCACTCAGTATTTTTGATTCCTATCAAGGAAGAGTTCAGGCAGAGATTGGGGGCTTGTGATTTTTCTGCCACAGTGACCTATTTTCTTCTGTAGGCTTGTACCACCCAGGGTCTCTCTGATCCCCCACTCTGTTCCCAATCTATCTTGTAAGCATATAATAGAGGTCCATGGGAAAAAGCCTGAAAGTAAGTGTGAACCCCCGGTGTCTGGCACTCCCAGGGTTTTCTACTGTCACAGTAGCCCTTACATAATCTTTAGCAATTCATTAAAATATTCAGTTAACCCATGTGTATAGTGGCTAGTGCTTCTTCTCATGTTAAGTCACAGGTATATGAATCCAGTCTCCCCCTGGAGAGATCCAACCCTTAGAATTCAGCCTACTTCAGCTCTCTGATGGGTTAATGTAAAACTATACTTGTGTAGTTCATTTGGCCTTTTCTCCTTGATAGGGTGGGAATTATGTCTTTCCAGGTAATTACAGTTTAGGTGACAGTAGAACTCTTTACTCTGAGCTTCCTTTACCTTAAGACTCTTACTCCTCTCTCTCTCTCTCTCTCTCTCTCTCTCTCTCTCTAATATATATATATATATATATATATATATGTATATATAATTTGCAGTATTCATGATTAAACTCAGGGCATGGCACATGCTAGGCAAGTGCTCTGCCACTGAGCCACACGCCTGCCCCTTTATTCTATTTTTATCACTCTAATAGGAAATGTAGCAGTACCAGGCTCCTAATGAATTACTTTTTTAAATGAGTCCTATAGAATCTGGCTTCCCGAGGAAGCAAAATTCCTGGACTTATGTCAGTCTGTGTTTGTTGCCCTAACAAATAGCAATAGAGGACTTTTGTTGTAGAAATAAGACAATTTTTTGGATATTATGTCCTTAAAATTATTTTTAAGCAACCCCTAGTTGACATGTTACTTAGATTAAATTTATAATCTGCTGAAATCAAAGAATTGGGAGCCACCATTCTTATAGTAAAATTTATAAACATGTTACTCATGTTTTCAATACCACACCAATAGAATTTCTAATTATCCCTTTATTAGTGCTCTAGTTTTCACTTCAGGATGTGGAACCACTGACAGAACCATGGCACCAAAGCAGGATGGGGGTAGAGTAGAAAATACTCTACTCTCTCCCCATTTGCCTCCTCCCAAATTCCTGCTATTGTTTCACATTTACTGATCAGAACTGGAATTCAGAGAGCAAGGGAACTGAGGTTATGCAGACAATGTATAGTAAGAACCACACTGGAAAAAGTAAAAACCAAAAGAATGTTAAAAACAACAGGTAAATTTAATTTTAATAACATATCTTAATACAAAATGCCAAGAATTAGTAATTTCACATTTTAACTGGTCTTTGGAACTGTGCATTATTATTGCAAAACACAACAATATGAAAAATAGGAACAAATTATTAATTTTGTATTCTTTTTTCCTATGTCTTTGAAACGTTATGTTTTACCAATAAAATACTAGACGTAAGTTATGTTATTTTAACATACTTATCTTTCTAAGTTGGAAATGTAATTTATTATGATAACATAGCATTTATTATTTATTATAATGTAGTTTATTATAGTGACATGAAAACACATTATTATTTTGCTAGTTAATTATTTTCTTCCTTTCTCTAAGACTATTGCTTGATATTTCAATGTGCAAACAACAAGAACAAAATTCAGTTAATTTTAATTTTTTTTGGTGGTACTAGGAATTGAACTCAGGGCCTTGTGCTTGCTAGGCAAGCACTCTACCACTTGAACCATACCTCCAGCCCCTTTTCTTTATTTTTCATGTAGGGTCTCCCTTTTGTCTAGGCCCACCTTTGGACTAGGATCCTCCTACCTCTACCTCCCAAATAGCTGGGATTATAGGCATGAACCACCATGTCTGGCCTTTTAATTCTGTTTTTACTAAGTCAGTCTGAAATGCAGTATGTTATCATTTCAACATCAAAGCAATATAAACATATTATTAATTACTTTTACACTTTCCTCCTTTACTGCTTTAAAATGCAGTCTGTTTCAATTTCAACAAGAAAACACTATACACATATTACTACTTATTTTCAATTCTTTTTTGTTACTAAGTCATTGAAATACAGTAATGTTGACATTTCAATATGTGATCAGAACAATTAATTTTAAATCCTTTTTGTCTTTGAAATATATTATACTATTGTTTCAACATGTAAACAAAGAGTAACTATTACTTATTTTATATCCTTTGCTTCTTCCTAAGTCTTCTATATGCAATGTGCCTTTTATGTTTATAGAACATCACATTTTGGAGTGGTCAAATTTCTAGGGCTCAATAGACACATGTGGCTATGGTATACAGGGAAATTCTAGTAGAAAAGGAGCAAGTACATACAGAATGACTTATACCATGAAGGAGAGGTACATGGTGCATTAAAAAAGAATAACTGATAATAAAGTAAGAGAACTAGGGGAAGTAAGGGATCTTGATATCCACAAAAGCTCATGCAAAAAAGACTTGGTTCCCAACAGATGGTGATATTGGGAGGTGGTGGAAACTTTAGGGGTGGATCCTAGCTGGATAAAGTAGGTCACTGCAGGCATGTCAGTGAAGGGAATATTAGGACTGCATCCTCTTCCCTTTTCTCTGCTTTCTGGTCACCATGAAGTAAGCAGTTCTGCTCTGCCATGGACTTCCTACCATGATGATCTGCCTCATCACAGGCCTAAAGTGATGGGGCCAAGCAAGGAAGGACTGAAACCTCAGAAACTGGTAGCCAAACTAAGTATTTCCTCCTTATAAGTTTATTATCTTGGGTATTTAGCATAGTGACAGATAGCTAACTAACACAGGAAGTAAGAGAAAAGCTTTTTGTGGAGATAACATTTAAGCTATGTCCTAAGTGCTGAGAAGCTATCCAACAGTATGGACGCCAGTTTATATTGAACACAACATATAAAAGGAAAAGAGAAAATAAAATCTTGGGTACAGGAGGGTTAAGTAACTTTCAAAAGTGACCCAAGAAGGAGTGTAGGAACAGATAAATCGTAGGAACATTTGTACTCTGAGTGGATTGAGGCAAGGACCTTATCTTATTTTCCTTCTCATTTTCAGTACCTGGAACAGTACCTCATAACAGATCCTTGGTTAATGTATATGAAATAAAATACAACTGTGCCTAAAGGTCTGAAACCTAGGAAAGGAGGTTGCAACATACAGTAGGTGGTTGACATAGTTTTCCCCCCTTTTAATTACAGATGGTTTCTCATAAGCAAACTATGGCAACCTGAAATATAAGAAGTTTAAAGTAATTCAGAGGATAAAATTATTTCCTTCAATAACCACTGCCCACTCCACAAAAACATCAAGGAAATGTTTCAATTGACTTGGGTCAAGTACCTGTAAGTGAACCAATTAGTATGGACAGGGAAATGGTATACCATTTCACATCACATATGTAACACTGGGGTCAGTAACAAGAAAGAGGATGTATATAACAATAGACAAGAGACCCACGGAACCTCTCCAAGTCCTCTAGTTTCTTCTTAGAGTTCTTTTTATAGAGATCAGTTACATATCCAAACTTTTTAACACACGGTTTCCTGGAACAATAGAATTATATATATATATATATATATATATATATATGATTTCTCCGGGCTTCAGGCAAGAACACCTAGTGCTTTAAAAACCCCACATCAGTGTTGAAACAACTATTTGTACCATGAAAATCATTCAGAACACATGGTCCAGTTCATGTCTTCCCGCTGTGCTGCCTGTAGCATCCCCTTCAATTGTGCTTTCACTTCAGCAAGCTTCTGCTGGTTTAAAGTGTCATGAGAATTCCATTGCTCATAGCAGTGTACAGGTACAGGATAAATTACATACTTCAGCTCCATCAAAGGTGTTAACTGCTGTAAAAGATGCTTGAGAACAGGCATGGTAATGGGATTAGAGGCAAAGCTAAGGACACGGAGGTGGGAACAACGGCTTAGGGTTGGAATGACAGCAGAAAGAGTAGAATCTGTTATAAGGCAACTATCTATCTCTAGATGTTGCAGGGTACCTGAGAGATTCTCCAGAAGAGTCACAAATGGCTCAGAATATTCCCAAGATATCTGAGTGTTACTGAGATTCAACAGCTTTAAGTGGTTTGCCTGAAGGCTCTGGGACAAGGAAATGAAGTCTTTGTGAGAAAGTTCACAGAAAGTCAGATACAGGAAATCCAATTCAGGTGGCAGGACTCTGTAGAGAAAAAAGAAAGGTACTTTTAAAGAATAAGTATTGGACCAGGATAAGAAAACCTGGATTATAGGGACCCATGACTCTAGAATAAACTATCTTGTAAATATATTGCAACAGCAGTTAGCAATGTAGGCTGCAGAATTACTTAAAGATTTGGAACCTTAGGAAAGTTATTTTTCTATTCTGAGATACAGTTTTTAAAAATCTTTAGAATATACACAATATCAATTATTATATAGGGTTGTGAAAAAGAGTAAGTGAAAAAAATTTATCCCACTTAGTACATACAATATAAACAATCATGGATCTAATTCACTTATTTGGTGAAGATAGATCAAGGAACGCAGTCAACTAACGATTCCCTTTGACCAATCCCTAAATGACTTTCTTCACTCAGGTCCTAAGCCTTAGAGAAAACACATGAGTGAAATGATCTGACAGTACTAACTATTGTGGTCAGACCCACGAGTATGTGTTTCAGTGCTACAACATAAAACCTTTCTCCATCTGAACATCTCCCCTTCCTCTCTAGAAGGCTGGAGAAGTACTGTGTCTTTTTCCACCAATGTTTATGGACTTATTCTGTCTACATGTAGTTGGCTGATTAAATGAATGACCACAGTTCATTTTTTCTAACCATCTTTCTCCTCACTATAAGAAAGACACTCTCTAGCCTGACTAGTTTCACACTCCTAGCAGTACTGATGCTGAGGTGGAAGGAAAAATAGGTTACAAGGAGCTTTGGAATACATAAGAATGGTTGTTCTCATACCTTAACAACAGGGAGTTCAGATAACCTCATGTACCTACCCAACCCCTTACCTGAGCAGTTTGTTTAGCTGGTCTCTGATGGAGAAGAAAGATAAGCTGAGCTCCTCGAGGTTGTCCATCTGCCCAAGATGGGTGAGAAAATTTCTAAAGTTTTTCCCTTTACAAGATCTAAAAATGATTCTAGACAGACTAAGGCTATCCAGGTGGATCATCTGAGCCAAAAGAGTGGAGACTTCACTCAGATAAGCCTGATCAATTCCCAGGTGATCAGTGCATACCAGATCCAGAAACTTTAGGGTACTTTTGTAGTCAGATGTTTTACTAATTTGCAAATCTCTACAGCAGAGGTGCAAGGATCCAAAGCTCTGCTCAACTTTATTCAGAAGCACAGAAAGAAATTTCCTTGATCTCAAGGTACCATCGAAGTAAAGGTCTACAAATAATTCCATAGGCTTCCTGGATGACTGAGGCTGAGACTCTGAATTTGCAATATTGTTACAGGCTTCTTGAATTTTTAAGATAGACTGCTGGGAGTAAATACAGGACTGAAAGCAGAAAGGGAATTTGCTTGAGATGTCAGTACATGTGGTCCTGCAGTCTGCATCCTGCCTTAAATCTAGAACCCTCAGTTTGGGAGCCCTGTAGGGAAAGAATAGATAGTATATCTGAGAGGTAGCAGATTTTAATGTAACTCAACAGGATCAATGATGAGAGGCAGTGGCACAACCCTTTTAACTTGGTCTTCACTGCATATACTGTATGCCAAATCTTCCCCATACAAATCCAATAGTTTTCATTATATTCTCCATCCTTTATTCTATCCTCCCTAGTGTTAATGTCCTTCTTCTATGTAAAAATACCCAATATATAAATCCATCAGTAGTATCCCCAATTACCCCTATTACATAATAAACTCTGTAAGACATTAAAAGTGTTTAGTAGGACTCCCCCCAAATGAACCAACAGCCTCACAGAGACCTTCAGCATTTACCATTAACTACCTCTGGAAAATAATATGCCCTCTCTCATATCAGGCACCAGCAAAATCTCCTGCTGACTCACATGTCTCCATTGCACATAGTCTTACCGAGTAGAAGAGTTCTGGACAGGAAGGATCTGAAGACCATCAATCATGGCTTCTAAAACTTCACAGTGTGGCTCCTGTACTCTCAGTGTCCCAACATGGAGACAGCGAAAGGGCCAAGTACTCACTATTGCCTTCAGTATGTTCTTACGTTCACCAGAGAAGGCAGCAATGAACAATGGAATAAAGAGCTCTCTTGGGATCTCCTCAAGGGCATGGATTAATACAGGCTCGTTAACCATCAGATTCTGTATAGCGAGGTCCAGCAGTGTGGGTATCTCCGTTTGGTCCATATTAATGAACCTACATCAGGGTAAGAAACATTTAGAAATCCTCACAAGACATCCACAATCTCTTACTTGTCACCAAAGTTATCAAAAGACAAAACACTTAATAAGTAAATACGTGGTGAATCAGACAGCCACCTCTAGAGAATTCTACTATGGACATAGACTAGAAACTGGCCTGTGTGTATAAGTGTCTGTTTGTATATACATATATACGTATACAAATATGTGTGTGACTATGAGGCAGACTAAATTAGAGGCATCAAGGCATGGGAATCAACAGATGGGTAATGAAATATTGTATTAATGAATAAATTATGAGCTGGCATGCATCTTCTTTTTTACACACTTACCCCACTGAACTGCAGCATAGTACAAAGGCAGTCCTCTCCCTATAACTTTGCTCATGATGATTAACACGCCCTGGGAACTAGGCAAGCTTATCTTCAAGAAAAATATGCATGTTGAGAAAACCTCCTGTACAGTCTCTCCTTAGCTTCTTTGATGTAGGAGCTGCTCATTAAAAGTTGCAGAAAGCAGACATCTATGCCAAAAGAACCTTAAGATAGCTTATCAGACTTAATTGTCTCAGGGCCCAAGTGATAATGCCAAATTGTTATGGTAACAGAAATGATTGAGATGTACCAGGTGCCTAGAACAATGAAGAACATTTATCCTAAGGAATCTTTAAACCAAGTTTCCAACACACTTTTCCAGCATAAACTCCAAGTGTTAGACCAGCAAAGTGTGTTACCTTTAATGCTGACATTCTATCTATTGGAGTGTCTTTCTCACATGCTTTGCTAAATAAACCTCTGGCAATCTCATTAACTATGCTCATGTCTTGGTGCTGAAATTCTTTTCTGTAATGGAAAGACAAGGAATTACAGGAGCTAGGAATTGACTTGAGGCCAACACTCACTGGGGACCTCTTTAGGCCTCCTACCAGACCATGGTGACAAATCCATTTATATTTGATAAAATGCCATTAGAAATCAGTAGTAAGTTAACAGAAGACAATGTTGATCACTTAGCTACCTCCCTACCAATATTTCATTTCAAAAGAATATAAACTAACAAGAAAGAAAGTGAAAATCTACACAAAAGCCGTACTTTTAGCATTACTTGGAAACATAAAATGTCAAAATTTCAAAATAATTGTGAGGGAAGAAAATGAACTCCGAGAAAATGATCTGTCCCACTCTTATCACTAGACTATGGGGTAAGCAAAGACACTAAAATTTGCAAGAGATACACAGGATAGAAGACGGTGAGGGGCTTAAACCTGATCTAAAATTATAGCCAGAAAGACTAGAACTTGAATAAGCCTGAAAAACCAAAAATATGTTCTGGAGGATAAAGGAAGGGACTACGGTGTAGGGAAAGGATTCCAAAATATACCTAATTTAAAACCACATGTTTTCTCTCATGTTGAAGACTATAAAACAGACCCATATTACTAAGGTCTGGGAAAGGTATTAGGGTTTGGGAGGGAGGTGGAAGAAGGATGGTTGGGTATGATCAATGTACTCTGTATGGAAATACCACACTGTATTACATTAATATGTACAATTAATATGTGTTAATAAATAAATAACATCAAAAAACGATAGGAGTGATTTAAAATTGTTTTTGAAACACATAGCTTCTAGGGAAGAGTAAAGGTAATAAGCATGAGAAAAACATCCTTTGGCACTTTGGTAATGATAGGGAAAAGATACAAAAGGGAGAAATTAAGAACCTGGTAAGACCTAAGAGAAACACAAAATCAGAGCGCCAATAACTTTTCTGTCTACCATAAAAACAAAGAGGCTAAAAGAACTGGACCTTGCTTTACTGATAGAAAATAGCACCATTAACCTAGAAGTCTTGTAAAGCAACACAGTATAATACAAATGAGCATGAGCAAAATGAAGAAAAATGCCAAACAAAATTATTAAAATAATCAGAGAGCAAAATTTCTGTTATCAGACACCTAGTCGATGGGATTTTGTTACATCAGTCCAAGAACACTAAAACACTGCACTTGGATAGGATAACTTGTCAACCTACTCAAGAAGATAAAATCAACCTACTCAAGAAGGAAAAAGAATTACATTCGCTTGAGGTTTATTAGAATTGTAATCAGGGAGACACAAAATTCAAGCCATTTTGAAAATGTACTCCAAGGTTTTAAAAGATGGGCTGTTTTGTAGCTTAAAATGCAAGCGGGGCTAGTTGTATCTCATTGTTAAGAAATATGATTATTGTATGTGCAACAAAAGTCAAACTGCCTTATAAGAAAGGGATTGACAGTCTCTCTGGAAGCAAGGGGGTGGTTTCACAAACTTTTACAAAGGTAAATTTAATTCCAGAATTTGTAATTCATGCCAGTTGACAAGCTTAGCGTGTACCTGGATGAATATGTGCAAACAGCTTAGTTCAAAAGTTCAGTTGTGTGCGTGACTGAAATTTGGTTTAACAAGGCTCCCAGAGTCCATTTTAAGTGCCCTGAACCAATGCTACTCCACTTTGATTTTTGTCCCTGAAAAGTTAACATTAAAATGATGTCAGTTCTCCCTAAGCTAATGTAAAACTGTAACTCAATTTTTAAAATTTCTGCAAATATTTTATGGAGTTAAACAACTTGAGAATTAAAGTTCACATATAAAAATATACGCAAATATAGCTAGAAAACAAGTGAACAGAAAACATATGAGAGGGGACTTATGATATCAGACTTTAACGCATACTACAAAAGCTCTTTACTTACAGCATTGTGTTACTGGTGCAAGAACAGACAAATAGCCCAGTAGAACGAATAAAAAACCTAGAAACAACTAAGTACCTATGGAACTGAGTATATGATAAAGATGGTATTTAAAATAACTAGACCAAAATGGTTCTGGAAGAATTCAAAAACTTGGAACAAAATTAAAGAAGAACTATATAGCATGCTATGTACAAGAATGAACTGAAAATTGGTTTGGGAGCTACACATAGAACAATGAAACCTGTTGAAATTGTTCTAAGGAGCGGGGAAAGGGGAATGAAGTTGAAAGATGAAGGGGGTGAATCTAATTAAGATATATTGTAAGCACACATGTAAATGTCACATGTATGCCCCTGTGCAACTATAATATGGTAAATAAATAAAATTAAACCATATATGTTCTTGAAGAGAACATGGCAGAATTCATTAACCTTAGGGTAGAGAATGGCTTCATAACTATGACTCAAATCACAGAGTCAATAAAAGAAAAGAATATGGAGTGTGACCATGTACAAATAGAAGAAAGTATGGCAAAATGTGTCATAAATAAATCAAAAGGTAACTGACAAACTGGGATAATATATTAGCAGTTATATATCTCAGACAAGTAGATATTCTAAATATATATGCAACTACAAAAATGAGGGACAAAGAACCAAAAATTTGGTATAAAATGGGAAAAGATATGAACTGATAATTTACACAAAATATAAAAATATGGACCACAAAGAAATGAGAAATGTCAAAACTTAGTGATAATTATATAAATGAAAGACAATATACATTTCTCATGTAACACATAGGCAAAAGTTTAAAAATGTAAGGAAATATATGGTTAGTAAGGCTGTGGGGAAACAATCACTCTTATACATTGCTAATGAAAATGAAAAATAGTATAAGACTTCCATAGAAAAATATGGAAATGTCTAACAGAATTACATATGCTCTTACCTTTTGACCCAATGATCTCATAACTAAAAACATACCATGAAGATATATTTCTGCTAATAAAAAGTATTTATGCCCAAGAATATTCATGGAAACATTACGTACAACTTAAAAATGTTGGAAACAATTTAAAAGCCCATACATAGGTGAATGGCTGAATATTAAGTATTGTACAGCCATACAACAGTTTCTGATGCAGCTGTGAACAAAGAATGATGGAAATCTCTAGGAAACAGTAGAGAATAATTTAAAACGTGCTATTAACTGAAAAAAAGCAAAGTAGAAAGGAATATGTATGATAGCATGTAAGAAGGCAATATAAGAAAATATGTTCTATGCAAAATAGAACAATGAAACCTCTTGCAATTGCTTTAAGTGGGGTGGGGAGGGGTCAGGGGTACAATGTAAGCCTATCAGAATTGGCCCAATGAATCTCCCCTGTACAACACTATAACCTGATTTAAAAAAAGAAAACATGTATCTTTCCTTTGTGTGAAATAACACAGGGGAGAGTAGGATAGAAACTGAAGAGCTTGGTTATCTGTATAAGGAAAGGATGGGAAAGAAGCATAAAGAAATGGGAAATAGAAACAGGCTAGAAGAAATGAAAAATGAGGGACACTTTTACGAATATATGTTTGTGTATAGCTCTGACTCTCTGAATCATAGTAACAGCTCACTTATCTAAAATATAAATGCAGTTGGTCTTCTGTATCTGTAGGTCATACACCCAAGGATTCAACCCACTGCCTACAGAAAATACTCAAAAGTAATTGTGTGTATATGAAACATTTTTAGGCTTTTTACTTGTCATTATTCCCAATTATTGACATAGCACTCATTTTATTAGGTATTATAAGTAATCTAGAACCCAGGTGTGATGGTCTGTAATCCCAGCTACTTGAGAGGTGAAGATCAGAAGGATCATGTTTTGAGGCCAGCCCAGGCAAAAAAAATTACCAAGATCCCATCTCAACAAACATGCCGGGCATGGTGATACAAATTTATAATTCCAGTTATGTGGGGGGCATAACTAGGAGGGTTGCATTATGAGATTAGCTGGAATAAAAATGTGAGATGTTATCTGAAAAACAACTAAGGAAAAATGAGCTGGGGGCTTGGCTCAAGTGGTAGAGCACTTACTTAGCAAGCAGAAGGCCCTCAGTTGAAACCCCACTGCCACCAAAAAAAAAGTCATCTGCAGATAATTTAAATACAGTAAGTCCTCCTTATTCATGAATTTATCACATGTGGTTTTGACCAAAAGTGACCAAAAATAATACATTAAAAAAGGCAAAAGAGCGAC